ATTCACATATCACATTCACATATCATGCCATATCACGTACTAGATGAACAGCTTAAAGTACATTTCCTAGGAATGGTAGTTTAGGACCATCTTTGCATTTGACAGCATGTGAAACTCGGCATTGGGTGATATGTGATATGTCAATGATCCATCACTCTTAATATTGCCTCCTAAGTTCTACCATTAAAAAAAATGCTTATATTGATTTCTTTAGCTTATTTTACTCCTTCCAGAATTATCTTATTTTCCTTTTTTATTCAGTTATATAAAATGGTTATATAATAGAATAACTATTCATTTCAACTGCAGTACAAATGGTCCAGGTCAGCTTAAGGCACCTTTAACAGTTACTTTATTTATTCCATTATCCTCCATTGTTCTCCACCAACTCAGTTTATTTTCTCTGATGTATATGTGAAATTAATTTTACTTTTAGCCTTTTTTGGCATTGGCAAAGTCAGGATTATGACTATTCCAAAGTAGTATCATTTCTATGAATTAGAATGACCTTTCTTAAAACTCATTACTCAAAGTAGGATCATAGGAATACAGGTATATACAACTGAAAGGGACCTGAGGAGCTATCTAATATAACCTCCTCTTTTTTACAGACGAGAAAACGAGGCCTCTACCTCTCAGAGTTGTTATGAGGATCGAATGAAATAATAATTATAAAACACTTAGCATGATGCCTGGTACATAGTAAGCACTACACAAATGTTAGCTATTATTTGTATTAAGTGACCTATCTGAGGTCGCACAGAGAGGTGATTGGTGCCATTGAATTTTAGAGAATAAGATCTCTAGATCACGATTTTGTTACTCTGAGGGATCATATTATTCCTTAATTTGCAGGATTTAAAGAATAGCCCGGTAGAGACTAGAGACCAAAACAGTTGTACAGAAACTTTGATTGTAGAAAACTGAAAATGAAGTGTACCTTTAATATTTTTGGATGACTATGGAAATTGTCCATATATAGTTATGCAGTATGGTTACCAAAAATTGTAACAAAATAAGGTAGAAAAGGTTCTATTTTCAGAGCTTTCATTTTACTGGCAAAATGACAGGTCTCTCCTAAAAAGGCAGGACAGTTTAGCTAAGTAAGCCGCTCTGGGGCCAAGGTTAAAAAAACAACAACAACAACAACAACTAAGATTCTTTTCCTATTTTGGCCCCTAATTTGGCAGGTAAATTTTACTCAGCATTTATATATTTATAGCATAATAATACTTACCACTTATTTTGCACATAAGATAGTTTACTTGATTCAGCTTAGCCTCTGCAAATGTAATGAGGCAAAGAGTAATGCACTCTTCCTCCTGGCTCTCAGTCTGGTCCCCAACCAGTATGCAGGGGTTCTGAAGTTCTGTACAGAGATACCTACTTCCAGGAAGGGCTTTTGAGGTCCAATACCCTTACAGATTGCATCTGCCAGTTTTGCTCACTAATTTGGTCAATCCACCTGCAGTTCTGTTTTAAGCTACATGATGCTAAAGAAAGAGCTAGAGCTGTGTGGTTTGAAATATAGTAATTGACACTAATCCAAACCAAGCCAACAAGCTTTGCTTAAATGCTTATGATGTGCAAGGCCGTATTCTAGGCACTGGGGATTCAGAGAGAAAATGAAAAGCAGTCCTATCCTCAGGGACCTTACATTCCATCAGTGCCCTGACACTTGTAGCAAGGTGAAGGGAACAGAATGAAACTGCCATCACCATCACTTCTACTTATAAACTGGGATTAGGGATTTGTCACCCCTGTCCCTTGCAGGTCTATATCACTTTTATTGATGAGCAGGTAAGTAGAAAAGGAATGCACATGTTTGCTTTGGTGGGCTATGGGTTGATTGTAATACCTGACATTTGTATAACATTTTCAGGTTTGCAAAATGTTGTATATGTATGTATGGTGGCCTGAAAAAGTCTTAATTCATTTTAAAATTTTAATAGCTTAATTTTTAAATTAGCTTCAGTAGTTTAAAATGAACTAAGACTTTTGGGACATTATGTATGTGTATGTATACATCTTTGTGTGCACATATATGTATATATACATATATATCAATGAGTATATGTGTGTGTGTGTGTGTGTATTCATTTGATTCCTATAACAACCTTAAAAAGCAGGGACTATAGGTATTATTATCACCATATGACAAATAGAAAAGAAACCAAAACAAATCTATTTGTTTGGATTATAGAAAATGGCATTTATTAGAAAAAACTACCTGTGGGTGATAGTAATAGTACTTTCAAGTTCAAAATCTGTATTAACTAGCCATCTGCATTCATCCACAAGCCCAGAAAGTGATAGTGGTGCAAACCTATTTCTGTGGTTAGTTTGTTTTTGTATAGACTGCATCTCCCTATTGCATCCAGGCTGGAAGTTCAGGGGCTATTCCCAGGTCTGATTCTGGCATTGATCAAGCATCTCTTTGACTTGCTGTATTCTTCAACTGGGCCAATTCACCCCTTCCTTAGGCAGCCTGGTGCCACCACTTTGGCAAAAGTTCAAGTTTCAAAGAAATCAATCTTTGGGAAAATAAATAATTTTACCCAAAACTCAAAAAACATTGATAAAAATAGTTATGCTATCCTGACTGTTGCAATAGTTCACTATGTGTCAAGGGAGAGACACAGAAACTCACACTCCTAAGACACTTGCCTAGTTATAATGTACTGGCCTAAAAACAAAGGTTTTGTGGAGGACATAAGTCAGCCTCTGATATAGCAGCCTTGGGTCCCTTTGTTTTTCCTGGCTCTGAGACATCTTACATAGATAGATAGGTAGATAGATAGATAGGTAGATAGATAGATATAGTTATAGATATTTAGATATAGATATGTATGTATATATGTATGTGTATATATACAAACATACATGTATATATACACATATCTATTTGTATACATATACATGTATGTGTGTGTCCAAATTGAGGTTAAAGAAGGAGCTGACCAACTCTTCTAGGACAGCAAACTTACTGTGGGGGTCTCACTATCCCCCCCTTTGGGGATTAATTCAGTAGTAAACAAACTATTCCATTGTCTTTTCTACTAATCCAGGTAGAAAAATCCCATACAACTATTAATGTGCCAATCAGAAGTAAGTCAGATAAGAATTCACACCAGGATTGGTAACAGTTCTTTGGTGTTTAAGTATTTACCAATCATTCTGGATATTTCTGTAAGAATGTTTTCTCTTTTGAAGAAGGGGGAAAGTCTGACCAGAATGCCTCACCTTTATATCTGCTTTATCATTTTATTTCACAATGACTCTGTAAGTTTTGTAGAGACAGGCATTATTATTATTCTTTCTATACTAATGAAGAAAATGAGGCACCGAAGTTAAATAATTTCCCCAAGGTTACACAATTGAAGGCAGAGACAGGACTAGAATCCCAAAGTGTACTGATTCTTAGAAGTCTTCTACCTCTCAGCCCTCTTGTGCCTCCACTAGATTTCCCTAATTCGTCTATTTTTATGTAAACAATGATTATTGCCATAAAATGTATTCTTAATCTGTCACTGTTAAGCATGGGAAAATTGTTGAACACAACTTAATTCACAAAAGGGAGAATTATTTCTTTTTTATGTTATAAAATGTATAATTTCATTAGTGTGGGTCATCTCTCCACCAACGGAGATTGCAACCCCTAAATCTGGAGAATCCTCTAGGTTTTTTGAACCTAGCTTATTTAAAACAGATGTGCTGTGCAATATCACAGCCTATTAAAACTGACTTGTATAATCATTTAGCAAATGTCACTGAAATTGAAGGATTAAGTCAAACAACCACTGAGGAGTTGCCTAAGAAACCTACATATAAATATTGCTAATTACCTAAGTATTTGAAAGTAAAAATTCTCCCAATCTGCCTTTTAACTTCCTCTTGTTCAAAATTTTCAATAATGTTATCAGTGAAATGTGAGAGAATTAATTGTGGGTGCTAAAGCTCAAGACCTAAGAGCAGTAAGTATTGGGGCAGGGGAAGAAAGATTCTGTTTGCTACCCATAAAACTAAGACAAGCTGCAGAATGATTAGTGCTGGCACTTTGAAATGGGGGCTCTAGTTAAACATATTATTATCTTCTTAACTGTGATGTAGTCCCTATTCAGCACTATGGACAGCCACTGAAAGAATTGTGGCTACAAATTAGTCTTAGCAAGGTTCCCAAGATTTTTTGTTTTGTTTTGTTTTAAATTAGGTCATTATAAGAGGACTAATATTAAAGGGTTTTTAAAAACATAACTTTCCATTAAATGTGTGTATTTATTCAGTCAAGTTACTTCAGTCACAGTACAAAAGAACTGTTTCCCAAAATGTGCATAGTTAATTAAGTATGTGGCAACATCTGCTTAAGAAAGGTCCTTATCTGAGTCAGAACTAGCTAAACTACCTACCATCACAGAAAAGACCAGTGAAGTAAGAATGCATCTAAGTGTGTATATTTGTATATGTTGGAAGGAATCTGAATTGCATACAGTGTTTGCCCCCTGAAAAAATTAGGAAGTAAAGATTAATCATATGAATATCTCATCAACAATAAAAACTAGCTACCTAGGCCACAACTTTTAAAGTGTCACATGTTGTTGAGTGTTAATTTTGGATAATGAGTCAAATTTTTAAGAAATGTTTCTCTCTCTTTTTTTTATTTAAATTGTGTTTATGATTCAAACTTTTTATCATTATTGTCATTGGCCTGATTTAGTCCTGTAATCTTCTTTAATCTGAAACCCTTCAGAGTAACTGTGCTGAGGGTAGAAAAACCTTTAAATGCCCCTGAGGTTGCAGCACCTGCTCTGGATTTACTAAATTAAATGATTGCACAAATCAGAAGAAGAGAAGGTGTATTTCTGCTACAAAAGACCTCATTGGAGAATTGACAATGCAAATCTTAGAGGACCATATTTAGTTAAAAGTTGCTGTTGTTGTTACTGTTTTTGTTGTTGTTGCCACAATAAGGATATTCAGTAACTGCAATCTGTTTCTTACAGTACCCTGCCAGACGGTCTTAGATTATTTGAAAACTGTCCTTCAGCACCATAACCAGCTCATGCTACCACAGCCAGCAGATCAGCCCACAGAGGTAGTGTATAATATAAAGACAAGAAGAAGCATGTTTTACGTTTCTGATTTCAATGAGATGAAATTGATAATTTAGTAATCCACCAATAAAGAACCAAGGAATACATTGGTGACAAAATATATTTCTGAAAACCAAGGGTTGACCTGTGTATGGGCCTTGTTGGGTTTACATGTGTCTTGAAATGATAATGGTACAGTGGGGAGGAATGCTGGACTTGGGAGTTAGGAAGAAAAATTAAATCAAATCATACCTCAGACACTTAGTAGCTGTGACTCTGAGCAACTGACTTAACCTCTCTCAGACTTAGTTTCCTTACCTGTAAAACAAGAATAATAATAGTGTCTACCTTGCAGGATTGTTGTGAAGATCATAGCAGGTAACACATGTATAGCACTTTGCAAACCTTATAGTGCTATATGAATGCTGGCTATCATGATGATAATGGTAGTGGTGGCAGAATAGTTTGACTACTAGTTAAATTTAAAGTTTCTTTGCTAAGCAAGGAAAACTACAGTACATGCAAATGTTCACCATTTTTAGCAGGTCTTTCCAACCCACTTCATTTACTCCCACCCCCACCATGTTTCTACTCATATAACTCTATTAGAGAAATACAAGCATAACATCTACTACCAAAGAGACTCCAGTCTATCAATCAATCAATAAACATTTATTAAGCACCCACCATGTGCCAGGCACTAACTTCACAATCACGTAGATATTCTGCAAAGGAATTAATTGGTACATGTGGACATTTCACCAAAATCTTTGCTGCAAAATAGTTATTACCTACTGAGACTTTTCATGCAAAAACCTCCCAGTTTGTTGTTGAGCAATGGATGATCAAGTTTCTAACCTTTCCGTATTTGCAGAGATAAACTATGTTGGGTTGAGGAACAAATAAGATAAACTAGTTTGAAGACTTTGCTTTGTAGACAAAATCTTAAGTAAATGCCAACACTTTGAGGTCTACCTAGTGCTTTATAACTATTACCCCAGTTGAGCCTCACGATAAATCTGTGTGGTAAGTAGTAGGCTTATAAGTAGTAGGAGTATTCTTATTCCCATTTTACAAATCAGCAAAGAGGCTGAGGTTATGTGACTTGTCCAAAAAGCTAGTAAGTGTTGGAACCAGAAAACAACTCCAGGTCATCTGACTTCAAGTCTAGTTTCTTTCCACTACCATGCTGCCTTTCAATAACTATCAAGAAAGTGGAAGGAAGGAAAGAAGAAAGGAAGGAAGGAAGGAAAGAAGGAAAGAAGGAAGGAAGGAAGGAAGGAAGGAAGGAACAAAGGAAGGAACAAAGGAAAGGATTAAGTTCCTACTATATATAAGGCACTGTGCTAAGTGATTTATAATTATCTCATTTGATCCTCACAACAATCCTGAAGATAGTGCTAGAGGAAACTGAGTCACACAGCTACTAAGTATCTGAGGCAGAATTTGACCTCCACCCAGTCTTCCTGGCTCCAGGCCCCAGGCTCAATCCACTGTGCTTTTCCTATTCCAGTTATATGGGGAAATTACTGGATTTATTTCCACTATACTACTTTATTTTTAATCTCATCACATAGAATATCCTCAGTCATATTTTACATTATCTTTTATCCCAATTAACTATTCTAAAGTATTATTATATCCTCTATAATCAAAACGGCTCCATAGTTCTATTTTTATTTTTGAAATTTTTTTTTCAAGACAATATTTCTTTTCTGAATAACTTCAAAATGATAAACCTAAACAATAACAGTGACTGAGTTGCTTTTTTATAAGTGAATATCAAAAATGTTTGAGAAGGGGCCTAGATTGGTCCTATTCACTGGCACTTCACATCTCAAAAATAATACTTTGATGATTTTGATGATATAACTTGAATATGTAGAGGGATAGTGAACAGAGAGTTCATTTCAGAACCCAAAACACCTCTATTCAAGTACTACCTTTGACACAAACTGGCTCTGTGATCCATGGCAAATCATTTAAACTCTCGATTCTCTAGGCAACACTCTAAGACTATGTTAATGGAGAAAATACCAGTTATCTTTGGTAGAGGGAGTTTTCTTCATCCAGGGAGTTCCCTAACCCAATCCAGTTCCTATCTTTAATATGAATATGATATGTTTTTTTAAAGGCCTCTACACAGCATTATAGGAACCACACATAAGAAGAGTGATTTTTTTTTATTGTGTGGAGGAATTCCCTCCACTAAATAAGGCTTAATAAGACTAAAGTCTTATTATGATGCCTCATCACAAAATGGAGATGACCCTAAGTTCTTGGAGAAGGTGTCATCAGAAAGCAGGCTCTAACAGAGTCTTCCAAACAAAAAGCCTTCAAGTGCAGGTCTAGTAAAAAATTACATGTTGTGGTCTGAAGACAATAAGGAAGATAATTCATGAATCAGGCAGAAGATTAGAGTAGTTGACCTCGGAGATCCCTTCTAATCTATGATTCTAAAGATTAAGTGACTTGCCCAACATCACACAGATAATAAATGGTATGACCAAGGTCACCTATCTCCTAATCCACTTATCCTTTCATTACTCCACATTGTTTCTTTATTTCATAGTGACAATGCTTGAGGAAGGGATGCAATAAGAAGCAAAAGTCTCTTCCTTTTCTTCCCTTCCTATCGCTCTCCATTCCTTTCCCCTTCCACTATCAACTGGGTGATGTTTTTAATTTTAGTAACTTCACTTATCTTTTCCTTCACCCCTGTATTCTCCCTCCCCTAAACACAGTTAGGATTTGGGGACATAGTGTTAATGGAGAACATCAATAGAGAACATTCTAGTTTAGTTCTTCCCTTGCCACCCTCCAGCCCCATATTCACACCCCTCTCCCTACCTCAATGATGAATATCAGATCCTACTCAGTGCAGTCACACAAATTTCCCAGCTACAGAGAGAATGGTTTTGTATGCTTTGCAAAACAGAGATTTCAAATCCTCAGCTACTTTGAAATTAAAATTAAATAGCTGGTTTCAAAACCAGTAAACCCATCTGGAAGCAAATAACATTTTGTGAACAACCCTAGCTGTTTGTCAGAAAGAGAAGAGAGAGGGTGAAATTGGAAACCAGGCTGTCTTTTTGTCCCTCTGCTTCTAACAAGTGATCAGGAGCTTTCATTAGTTCTTCAGCTAAAAAAAAAAATACAATTAAGTATTCTGTTCTTTTGTAGATAAAAGTAGGATATTAGAATAAAATGCAGGTGGCAAAAGTGTCCAAATGTGGAGTCAAAAGTTTTTACTGTGGGTTTTTTTTTTTATTATCATGTTTACCAGCTCAGGGTGTTTAATAAACTATTGATGGCATTGGCATCATTTCAAAGAATTTAGTTAAATGTACAACTGTGTGAATTTGGAGCCTGAAATGAATAAGAATGTATCATCTGATTGAAATCCTGATTTTCAGGAGAGTTTTAACAGTACTCCCAAATCCTCTAGGATAAAGGAAAAAGATGGTTAACTTCTCCTATCTCTTGAAAACATGGACCATTATTTTTCTGATGGCTTTATGTGTTCAATATGCAGACTTAATAGTTCAGTAGTTTTTCTGAAACTTTTGTAATGTGCCAAAGCCACCTCTGTAAAAAACTAGAATCCTGTTTATTCAAGATGGCTATCTGATTAATTGCAAGACAAGATTTTAAGGCAGAATTGTGAAAGTTGTTATCTACTTGTTAGGATGTTACCAAAATAACCTTCCTCTGTGTTCCTACTCTTTTTTTAAGTATACTTATTAATTCATAAAGAAAAATAATGCCTGACACCTGTTCCAGTCTCTTGGATAGAAAAGGCAACAAAAAAATTCCTAACACTTAAGCGTATTGAATTTAACATGGGTTCTCCAAATGTTTAATTAAATGGAGATACCTATCATCTGTAGGGAGGAGTCAGAGGACTAGGGTTCAGATTCTAACTTTGCATTTTAAAACCTATGTGACCTTGGGCAAGTCATTTAACCTCTTCTGGGTCTCAGTTTCCTCATCTGTATAATGAAGGAGTTAGACTAGATCACATCTAAAGTCCTTTCTAGCTCCTAAATCTGTGATGCAATAAAATACTTTTCTGAAAACATGTGACCAATTATAGAAGTTAAGCCTTTTGAGGGGGGAAATACTCCCCTTGACCATGGCATAATTAATTTAATATTAATTATCAATTACTTAACACTGTGCTAGGCACTGTGTGAAATAACAAATATGTGTGTATATATACATGTATATATATACATGTATATTTGTGTGTGTATATACATATATATAATATATATGTTACATAGTTCCTACCTTCAAGGAGTTTATACTCGTTGTCTAAGGAGAAAAGAGTAACACACACAAAATCTTTAGAAAAGAAATATGACCAAAAGATTCAGATGATACAAATCTCCAAAGCTTGCTTAAAGGAGCAAGGACAGAAAAAAAAAACCCTGTTAATTTATTCACCAAATGGTCAAATAGAACAAGGAGTTTTGGTTAAATGAAGTATCTGTAGCAGAAAGTTAATCATAAATCTTTTTTTTTAATTCCAACCTTCATTTTTAGAATATTTCTTAAATCTGTATTCTGTTTTCCTGCTTTAATAACTGGAGTGTGTTTAACATCATTTCATCATGATTTAATCCCTCAGAAAGTTCCTGCAGGATTCTGATGATCATTCTTGAAAATAACTAAACTGCACAGTGCCATAGCTGTAGGAGGTACAGGACAATGGACTAAATGTATCCTGACCACAGAGACAATGGGGCATAATAGAAAGAGAGCCCAACTAACTGTCAAAAACCTGAGTTCAAATCCTGGCCTAACACTGAGTAGCTATGTGACCTTAAGCAAAATCACTTTATCTAAGTCCCCTCATCTGTAAAATAAGGGGATTGGAGTAGATAATCTTTGAAATCCTTTCAAGCTTTCTGTCCTGTAACTATGCACAGGTTTCTATCTTTTAGGGGCATATAGAACTCTTTCCTCACATCCCAGTGAGGTAGGTAAAAATCATTATCCCTATTTTATTACATACTAATCAATAAATCGACACGCATTTATTAAGCACCTACTTTGTATCAGGCCCTGTGCTGGGCATCAGGGATATAAAAACAAAAATTGAAGCAATTTCTTTTCTAAAGCATCTTAAATTCTATCAGAGAGACATTTTATACATACATACATATATACATACATATATACTTACATTCAGTTCAGTCGTTTTTCAGTTGTGTCCAACTCTTCTTTATCCCATTTGGGGTTTTCTTGGCAAAGATACTAGAGTGGTTTGTCATTCCTTCTCCAGTTCATTTTATAGATGAGGAAGTGAGGCAAACAGGGATAAGTGACTTGCCCAGGATCACACAGCTAGTACGTGAGTGTCTGAGACCAGATTTGAATTCAAGTCCTCCTGATTCTACAGCTGGCACTCTATCCACTGTGCCACCTGGCTGCCCATACATACATACATACACACTATGCATATATGCATGTGTATATGTGAATGTGTTCGATATATGTACATGTCAAATAAATGCAAGACAATTAAAAACCAAACACTTAGGGAAGGCTCTATGAGTTTCAGAGAAGTTAAATGACTTGCCCCATGATTTGAAACCAGATACCTTGATTCCAAGTACATTACTATGCTGTCAATGACACCATTTTTCTCATGCCTTTTAGTCCTAAAAGTAGAGGGAAAAGATTAAATGAGACTCCAAATTAATTGAGATTTGCTGCATTTCTTGACTTCTTGCTGTCTTGGCAGACTCATAGCAATGGTAACGGAACCTTTTGATCAGGTTTGATTGTCCCTGTACATACTGCTACTGGTTGGTTTCTTTTTTCTGTTTGTGCTAATTATGCTAATTATTTTTAAAATCACACTGTAGACTTAATTCAAGAAACTAAGGAAGTTTAGACTATATTAAAAATAAAATTAACAGGTACATAACACTTTTTAGGCTAGCAAAATGCTTCATATATATTATCAGATTTGAGCTTTATTATATAGTTTATATATATATACATATACATACACACATATATGCATATGCATATACATACACACATAGGAGGCTACTAGGAGGCTCAGTGGATAATGCACTGGGCCTGGAGTCAGAAAGACCTGAGTTCAAATCCAGCCTTAGACACTTACTAGCTGTGTGGCCCTGGACAAATCAGTTAACCTCTGTTTGCCTTAATCCACTGGAGACAGAAATGGCAAACCACTCCAGTATCTTTGCCAAGAAAACCCTGTGGACAGTATGGTCCACAGGGTCATGAAGAGTCAGACACAACTGAAGGTCTGAATAATAACAACAACAAATACACATACACATACACACATATATATATGTATGTATGTATGTATGTATGTATGTATGTATGTAAATATGTATGTATGTATGGGTAGTCAAATCTGGCAAGATAAGCATAACAACCTCGAGCTTCACAGAGGTTTTTCAAAATAAGGCCCCTCAAGGCTTACACACTGCCACGTTTATAACCAGTAGTAAATTTGCGGCACTGTAAAACTGAATGAGTTGTTAGGGTTTCCCCATCTTTATTTTGTATACCTTAATTACTGGAGAAGGAGTACATTAAAACTGAGATCTTGGGTTAATTAATTGGTCCTGGACTATAGAATTTTATAGACCACAAGAACTGAAGTAATGGTAGTGTAGGTACAATTGACTAAACATGGCTTATAAACGTTACAGAAATTCCCGTAATTAGCCCCACTGCAGCTATTGAGTCCTGGAATTTTATAGCAGACATAAATTATGAAGGTTAAAAGGAAGAAAAATTTTGAGTTGACATAGTGGCATTTGCACAGAGCTATAATTTGAGTTAATGTGTTTTCCTGTGACTATTAATGAACCTTTTCTAGTTTGAAAATTCACTTTTCTATTTACTTTCTCCACATTGTTTTCAAGGTAATAGACTGGCTAGCAGGTGTGAGGTGTTAAATGCAAGTAATAAATATCTTATGAAAATACGTCATAAAAGTCATGCCTGAAGTACTTAACTGCACATGGAACAGGTGATGAGATGTGTTTGATCCCACTCTTCAAAGTCACTTTTATACCTTTGAGTAGACTGAAAAGGAAAGTTATGGGTATATTTAAATGGTGTTCCCTGTCATTGAATCTTGACACATGTTAACCTACCTGTTAAAGTGCAAGTTATAAATAGCTGCTCTCTCAAAGGTGTTCATTATACCTCATTGAGCTCTTGTTATAGAAAATGCAAATGTAATTTAAAAAGTGCCCGTTCTGAGTATGAGCGATTACTTGCTCCCTTCAATACGCGTTTCATTGTCAGCATATCAGCTTGGTTACAAGCCTGTTTTCCTTTCAAGCAGAGATCGTTTGAGCTTCTCTCTGTATGCCTAAGTGTATAATGGAAAATGTTTCACTTTCCCAGGGAAGCAAGCAGCTGTTGAACAACTATCCTGTCTACATCACTAGTAAACAGTGGGATGAGGCGGTAAATTCTTCCAAGAAAGATGGGAGGCGGCTACTTCGATACCTCATCAGATTTGTTTTTACAACCGATGAGCTTAAGTACTCATGCGGCCTTGGAAAAAGGAAAAGGTCAGTGCAGTCAGGAGAGACAGGTCCTGAAAGACGTCCTCTGGATCCAGTTAAAGTAACATGTCTCAGAGGTACTGCATCCTTTTGCTCAGTGTCCACCATATGTGATCCCATTTCACTGCATTGGCTGTGGCTCAGTAGAAGTGTTCAGCTTTCCTGTATTTTGATTTTCCTGAGATCTCACAAGCTTTGTGTGGCCCATCAATTCCTTATCCAAAACTTCCTGGAGAACATTCTATTTGCTTTGGCATCAGTGCTGTGATTTAATGATACATACATCGACATTACATAGCACTGTGATTTACATGCTAAATCCAGATTCAATTTCAACCAAAGGTCTTCTTTGACCAAAGTGGGATGGATGTGAGATGGGAAGAACCAGAGCATAGGACTACAGGGGAAATGTATGGAGGAGGACTAGCAGGGGAAGTAAATGGAAGAATAAGGGAAGAAATACATTTTTTTCATAATTGTTCACATAATTTTGCTGGATGATTTTCAATTCCCCTTTCCAAATCTCTGCCCTTCCCCATATCTGATTTTCTAGCCCTTCGAGACTATTTAGCCCAAATTTATATAATCTGTTTATAATGTTAGCCAAATATCAATAGACATTTATTATGGCCAGAAAAGCACTAAACTGTTAGGTCTCTCCCATGCTATTAAAAAAAATAGAAAATATGTGGATCTGGTGTTTTAATCAGTATCAGCAGTCAATATGGACCACTTTAAAGTTGGTTGGATCTCTGGTGCCAATAAGATTAGTGGGAAGGGAAGGAGAATTAACAGGGGAAAAAAAATATTGATTCAGCACATGGACAGTCTTATAAAACAGTCTGAGACAAGCTGCACCACTAACTAAATGTTCAACCTTGGGAAAGTCACTTGAATTCTCTGGCCCCCAGTTCCCTCTAACCTCTATCATGGTATATGAATGCTACAAAGCAGCCAAACAGAAAGAGAAAATGAATAATGAGTTCGAGAAGCAGGTCAAAAACTGTCAAAGAGACATGATATAATGGTGATGAAAGACTTCAACTAGCCAGCCATCTAGACATCTGAAGGGTCTCCTCCGTGTGTGTGTGTGTGTGTGTGTGTGTGTGTGTGTGGGTGTGTGAATGTGTGTGTCTGCCTGTCAATCTCTATCTTCTCCCTCTTCCTCCCTTTTCTTTGTCTGTCTCTTTTCTATCCCTCTCTTCTCCTTCTTCTTCTCCTTCTTCTTTTTCTTCTCTCTCTCTCTCTCTCTCTCTCTCTCTCTCTCTCTCTCACACACACACACACACACACACACACACACACACACTCTCTCTCCCTCTGCCAGAAACAGAACATATGATAAATTATGGCCTTGTCTGGATCATAATTTAATACTTTGAAACGTAGAGGAAGTGCCAAGGAAAATTACTATTCTGGACCTAATTCTGATCAATAATTAAATGCTGGTTGCTAAAGTAGAAATACAGAAATCTTATCTAACCATGCAATTTTAGTGTTTGTAGATAAGGCGGGGAAAGCCTGTTGTTACCTGACTTGTATCCTAGATTTGGGGTGTGCAGATTACAGAAAGTTCAGAGAAAAGATAAATAAGATTCCCATGGCTTAAAATTCTGTATGGGAAGCTTACTTTCAAAAGTGATGGAAAACTTTCAAAACAAAATTCTGATGATGCAAACATAAATTATTCCAGCATATATGATAAGCAAGAGCTGAGTAAAGAAACTGATGTGGCTACATAGGGAACTCATCTCCCAACTTTTTTAAGAAGAATCTTTAAAATATTTAAAAAACAAATATATGGAAGATGTTAGTAATAGAAGATAACTGGAGAAACATACAAAGGAATGCTACAATCCTATAGAAAACTGACGTGCAGGGGGAACACAAAAGACAAAGAGTCTTAGCTATGTTAGGAGTAAGATGAAGCTAGAAGAATGCAGAGGAATGTGTTTATGGGAGATGAGATGATATCAGACAAAAGAGAACAAGCAGGCATTCTCAACTTTTGTTTTTCCTATATTTTCTCTGCTAATGAGGATATTCTTGAGATTGGAAACAAAAATAGTTAACAGGAAATTGAAACTCAAGATAAATGAAGCTAAGGTAAGAAAGCACGCTTTTACACTTAATGAGTTTAAGTCACCAGAGCCAAAAGAGCTACAAGCCCGGGCTGTAGCTGAAAGCACTGCTAGGGAGGGAGTATGGGGCGCTGGAAAACATGCAGAATGTGCAACCCTAAAAAGACCCAGGTTTGAATCCTGCTCCTGACATTTACTAGCTGTGTGGCTTTGGACAAGTTGCTCAATTCTCTGAGCCTTAAGGGATGTTTATGCCTGCCCCTAATACACACACACACACACACACACACACACACACACACACACACACACA